GGAAGGAAGGAAGGAAGGAAGGAAGGAAGGAAGGAAGGAAGGAAGGAAGGAAGGAAGGAAAGGAGACAGGGAACTAAAGGAAAATACAGAGAGGGTGTGTGTGTGTCTCTGTGTTGGTGTGTGGACATGTTTAGACATTCTATGCTTATGAGGACATTTTGCTGTGTGTCTGTATGTTTTTGTATGTTAGAGACATTTCATCAAAATAAAATCAGATCAAATTGTCTTTTTATGCTTTTTATTACAAACTGACAAGCTAAATGAAAGAGACTAAAGTGAATTATTTTTTACCCCTTGAAGAAATCATAATTTTTGCATTGCATCTAATTTTTTTTTCAGGCAAAAACTTCAACAATTCAGTCAATAACAGGGGTAACATGGGTGACATTTTCAACTTTTTGTATGGACTTTTTGTACAGAGTAAAAAAGAATTGAATAATAGAGCCATGATGTAAAAAATGTTTGGTCATTTCCAGACAGTCAGGAACAGAAGTGCACCAAARACCCATGTTACCCAGCTCGCATTTCAGGTGAGCAAGCAGCACCGCAAACCAACAATTAAAAAGACAAAAAAAGGAGAGAGATAAACACGAACAAAAGAGGAGTCCAAGAAAGAAGCTCAGAGAGACAAGGAGGCAGATAAAGAAGAGAAGAGGAGGCATTCCGAAGAGAGAAAAGAGGAAGAGATGCAATTCATACTGGCATCCTCTGCAAGACACCGCTCAGAGCAAACCACTACCAGTCTGTTCACACCACTTCTACTCAAACCAAACTAAAACAGAATCCATACAAGGTTTAAGAAGCACCCGCAGGTTGCTGAGTGGGGTAGGAATTAGAGACCCATGATTAGGAAATATTTGCTTTCTTGTGTCATAAAAAAGAAAATCAGCTAATCTGAGCCAACAGGCACCCAACGGAGCAGCAAAGTGGGCACACTGCAATGGGATATTTCATCCTCTTCTTAATAAAGACAGGGCTGGGCATTTAGTGTGCCACTGCACTTCACTGTACACTTTTAAAGTCAGTTAAAGTTTAAAAAGTAGTGAAATGAAGTGGCAGGCTAACATTTCAAATGTCAGGGTTAACAGAGTCGGGTCTCTCAGGGTTGAAGTGCGGAGGGTTTCTTAAAAAGGAGGAGGAGAAGAAGAAAAATGTAGCTCAATACCCAAAATGTGAAAAATACAAAACAGAAAAAGAATAAAACTAAATATTTGGGCATGCCTTTAGGTTAGAAGTACAAAATAATAATAAAAAAGTCATTCAATTAGCTAAATCAATCAATCGATCCATCTCCAAATTGTTCAAACTCCAAACCAAAGTGTGCAGTGCAACTTCAGGGAACTGTATAGATGACAGATCTGTATAAAGCCTAAAAACCTTGATAAAAAGATAGCTTATTGATWTTTAATAATGCATATATTTATTTTGCCTGACAGTAAATTTATTGGGACTAAACAGTTGAAAGATTTCCTTTGAGATAACTATTTCTCTAAATAGAAAAGCTGAATAAAGCAGGTAATATCCAGGTATATTTAGGCCCTCGTATACTTTTTTGGGGGGGCAGACCTAAGAGCTTTTTATGGGGGCAAATGGATTCTCCTTTTAAAGGCAAGAGAACAAGTGCACAGCTCCTACACCCCTGGGACACAACAGCCTCATTAGTATGCCAGACCAGTGTTTTCTGAGCTGAAACACAGAGTTCCAGATTACAGAATATACTGTCGTATATGCACGTTCTCTCATTTCTTTATAACCTTTAATAAGAACTGATCTGAGACTTAAAGCTTTTTAGTACATAACTTGAGTTATAAAAAAGCATTCACACTATTGGGATTCATTTGTTTGGTATCTTGTTCTGCAATTTTAGTGCTACTTTAACTTGTATTTAGCTCCTTCAGGACATTCAGGCTATGACTTGTTTTTTTGAGATATTTAGATTTTTATGCCATTTTTTTCATTGAAAATGAATGGAGCTGTTTCCACATCCTTAAAATGCTTCAAAATTTTCATAAATCTTTACTGTATTCTTCACCTTTTCTTCTGCTTTATGAACATCTGCTCATTTTAGCTGTTTTTAGTGTTTTTCATCTACTTTGACTTATATCAGCTTTGATGTGCTTTTTTAAAACTTCTTACTGTTAATTTAAGCTTTTCGTGCTTCTTTCAGCATCATTCAGATCCTTCTTTATTTTGCCATTTCAGTTACYTTTTAGCTGTTTTTAGCATTCTTGGCTACTTTAGCTTTGAAGTGCTTCTTTTTACTTCTGTTAATTTAAGCTTTGTGCTCCTTTCAGCATTGTTTTGTTTTTATTTTACTCTGCCTTTTCAGTTACTCTTTAGCTGTTTTTCCTAATTTCATGTTTTGGTGGTCTTTTATTTATTATGTTTAATTCAGCAAAGATATGCTCCTTCAGTCTCTTTCTGCTAATTTCAACATTTTAACCTATTTTTCATCTATTTTCATTTAATCTAAGGCTTTTTTTTAGTTAAATCTATCTATTTTTGCTTCTAACTGTCTAATTCAGCAAACATCCTATTTTTTGGCACAGTGTGTAGGATTTTGTCAAGTCTTTTAGCCGAAATKGAGATAATCACTAATGACAATAATAATAATAAAAAAACATGTCTGATCATTGCAGACAAAGACCTTGTTTTATTATTTTTACCTTATAAAAAGCTGTTTATATCTCCGTGGTCGCGGGTCGCCACACAGGCAGCCGCCATCTTGCACCGCCATCTTGTCTACGAAGGCTCATGAAGGACAAACTGCGGTGGCGGCGTCAAAAACGGTTTTAGTTGTTATACTATAAATGTAATATTTGTTGTCTGTCATTGTAGCTGGGATAATTTTACTTATTAAAGCTCATAATCTTACCACTTGAAACATCACTAGCCCTGAAGCTGCTGGTAGACATCGCGGTTGGAATTATCAAAGGTTTTGACACCTGAGAGACACCGTAGCAACTCCTTTGCGTTTGGAAGCTGGGGGTGGGGGTGGGGGGAGGACCAGGGAGGATGATTCAACCACTAGATGTCRCTGAAAACAACAAACCCTACACACTGTGACTTTCAATGTTGATCCCTTTTAATTTTAAGGTCAAAGAATAAAAAGTCATGTGCTAATATTTTTCTGTATGTTTTACATTTTTTTCCTGTAAACTTTAACTGTATTGTTTGTTTTTTTTATTTTGTTCATAAATTCACATTTTTTGCTCCTTGTAACTTCTTTCTGGTAGCTTCAAATTTTTTCTGCTAATTATCTACATTTTTGCCCTGTTCAGCTTTATTTTGACCAATTTTTTCTATTACTTTTTCATTTTGTTTTACTTTCAGTAAAAGTCAACAGTTCAAATTTAACTCACATTAACAGTCTTGTTATTAAACTGTTTCCCCTTGACTTCAGCAGCTTTCAGCTAAAATATTTCAGCTTTAAGCCTTCACTCTGCATTTTCATGTCTTGATAAATGATGATGAAATTCCTCTTAGCTGGATCCTGGTTCTGTAATGCTAGTCTAATTTTTCCTCAGCGTTCTGCTTTTTGACCCGTTTGATCACACTACAAAAATGATATTTCTCTGAGGCAACATAAACTATAATTTTGCCCATCAATACTTAACAGTTATGTCTTATTCTCAAATAATTCTGCTGTGATTTTTTTCCAATATCACATAAAAAAACAACCTACTGCCCCTGAAGTGTAAACACAACAGACACTTAACATTCGACTTTTGCCTTCTTTTTTTTTTTTTCATTCTCATTCAGATCCACTGCTGACCATTGGGCTCCCGTGCAGATGATAAATGAATTCATACATACATTTACATAAATTTCATGGGTGCTGACTAAATCCATTTTGGGATCAAATTGTTCCCAGTGAAAAGGAAGTTATATGTTTTTGCTCATTTGAACTTTAGGTTTTCCTGCTGATTTATGAATTCAGGGACCTTTTAGTCAAACACTAACGAAAAGTGAGAATCTGCGCTCATTCCATCGTGCCAGAGAATCATGCTTTTTGCATTATGTTTGGACCTTTTTTGACATTAACAAATCTGGATTTACAACTTTTGTTATCTGTCATGTTATACAGTGTCCATCGTTGCCAGGGTGACGCTTCGTGTCTCCTCTGGCAAGTGATGAAGAAGTCAAACTATGTGTATCCAAACCAAGTGCTKAGGGAATGCATTGGGTTCTATTGACAAATGCAATAATCTCTGCAGACCGAGGCTCATATACATATCAGAAGCAGACTCAAACATTCAGAAATGCAAACAAAAGATGTCTTGAAAGSAGGAATTTTAGGAAACTATGGAGGATGACATTTTATTAATTTAAATAAAAATAAATGGTAAGTCATCGCGGTAAAAGCTACTCAGAATTCTGAGTAGTCTTCAGCGTGATCGTGCTACATCTGGGTGTTTTACCTGCCAGGCTTTCCAAACCATCCCTTAAGTTCAAATACTGCACAGATGCAGTTTCTCGGTCGTTTGAAAGCTTGCAGATAGGAATCAGCACTCGGTCTGTTCGTATGTGAGAGAATGGCAGATCAGGCAGGCGGGCAGGCAGGAAAAGGAGGGAGGGGAGGAAGGAGGGAGTTGGACTACTTACGTTAACCTCAGTGATCGCTATGTCAACAATGCTACCCACAACTATCAAGGCATCAAATGTGTTCCATGCATCAACAAAATAATGCTGCGTGGAGGGTGGCGGAAAGGAAAACAAAAAAACAGAAAAACAACAGAAGAAAAAGACAGAAAAGGACATTTAAAAAAAAGAAAAACGATGGAAACAACAGAAATTGAAGGAGAGAGGAGAAAAAAATAAGATAATAAACATTACATACAGGAGCAATTGGAGGGAAAGATTYGACAAATTAAATGGTGGTGGGAGGGCAAAAGAAAAGGTACGGGCAGTCTGGAAGAGATGGACAGCAGAGGAGGAACAGCAGCGGCTGGTCATGCTCGTCCATGAGAGGAAATGTCATCAAGAACAACAATCAAGAACAAATTCACAACAACAACAACAAAAAGTGCCCTTTGTTGGAGTTAAAAAGCTGCGTAAGTTTGAGGGGTTAGTTCAGTTAGTTGGGGGAGGGGATTAAAATTGTCACGGTGGCCCAAAATAAAAATAAAAAAATAAAAATAAAACCAAACATTTCACATATTGTATTGAACATTATTGAACGCAACAGCCGAACCCTGCCTGCGTAGCCCTTTCCGTGTTTTTGTGAAACCCCGACGGAAACTTGTTCAGAAACCCTCGAGGCAGCAGCCATCTTGGATTCAAAGAGATAGGAGGAAGAGGAGGAACGAGAGAAAGAGGCTGACAAAAAAGAGGACAGAAAACAGTCCAAACGCAGAGGAAAAAAAAAAAAACACAAGACAGAGACTTGAGGAGAGACAACGAGAGCAAAAACTTGTACTTGTACTTACGTTGATCTCACTGAGAATGACGTCTATAATGCTGCCAATTACGATGAGGAAATCAAACACATTCCAGGGATCACTAAAGTACCCCTGCACAGGATGAGGTGAGCGAGAGGAGGAGGGTGAGAAAGGTATGTTAGAAGGAAAACAACATCTGCTGCCACTTTTGCAGCCCCCCCATTAAGGTGGTATGAAGTTGTACAGTGCAATGAAAGATGAAAAAAAAAATCGTCAGCTAGAGTTAATGAGCTGCCACATGAAAGAAGTTTCCACTCTGTTATCTGCTCATCAAATGCAGCCGGATCTAAGATTGGTTAAAAATGGTGCGTTAAACTGTGATTGTTTATAGTCGAATGTCTTGTTCAGCATTTCAAAGCATTTAGTTTACACACACGTCTGTTTCCAGGACATAAAAATGCTGTTTGACATTGTGAAATAAAATGTAGTGCTACTAGAAAAAAAGTAGTTTGAGCTTTCATGTAGGTTGGGAATATTATTGCAAATTTAGCATTTCAATTAGTATGAGACAGTTTAGCATTATTATGTGACATATTTATTAGGCACATTACGGTGTTTAAAACAGAAGAAGAAAGTTTTGGGCACCAGAAAAAAATAATACAAGCTCAGAAACTATACAGAATCATAAAACCTGAATGAAAAATACAACCTAAAAGATTAAGACATCCTATCTGCTGCTTTTCTGTGGATGAGATAAGAACATTTGTTAACAGGAACAAATTAAATGTTAAGATTCTTATTTCATTAATATCTGCAGAGAAAAAGTGAGCACATAAACATTCCTCATAACAAGATACAGCTTGAGGTTTGTTGAAAATGATTTAGGATTGTGTTATAGTACTGAACCATGGACTGTGGAGAAACGGCATAGAAACATTTGCTTTTATACATCTTAATTGTTCCACAAAATAAAATCTATCCTCAGATGTGAACTTTTATTGTGAGTACTGCTGAATAAGACACAGCAAGACYTGAATTTTCAGAGTAGCTATGTAATTTCACCCTGAAATAAACATCTTTTTTTACTTTATTAAAGAGGACATATCATGCAAAAAACACTTTTGTAACTGCTAAATGCACTTTGTTGTTTTTGAGACTGTAGGAGTGCAGAAATTTTTAATTTGTCTCTTCCGGTGCTGTGTATCTTTATTTTCTATGATGTTTTCTGAACTTGATTTAACAAAAATCGCAAGATTCCATTGGGATTTTTAATGGGCGTGGCCAAATGGCTCCACAGCGCCATCTAAAGTGAGATGGAGGAACTGGTAAGGCCCAGAGAGCTGACATTCGGCACATTGCTAGAACTCCCCAAAATATTAAAAAAAGTTTCTTGGAGGTATGCCCTAAAACAAACAGGAAGTCGGACATTTTGGGTCAAAGGTCAACATTTCCTTATTAAAGAGACAGCGTCAAAATGAGTTGATCTGAGACACACCTCAGAAAACGGGTGAAAGGGGGGCTTGTGGAATTACAATAAGGAGGGATTCAGACCAAAGCATTGCTGTTCCACTTCATATAGACCAGAACTGAAGGACTGAAATGTGAAAAAAAGGATTTAAAAGCATGATATGTCTCCTTTAAAAGCAGGTTTTATAGAAAATAACTTGGATGCTGAAATTAGTTAAAAAACAAAAGCCTTTCTTTTGAATTATGCTTTAAACTAGGACATTATTTTGAAAAGTGTAACAATTCTTAACACATCAAAACAGCTAACTTATTTAAAACTGAATTGTTTAATTAAAAAAATTAGACTTAAAATAAAAACTGGTCATTTTAATTCAGTTTCACATTAGTCCCGCTCACTTCAGCATTAAAAAAAATCATCAGTTCATGTGAAAGCATCTCACACAGATCTTGCATTCATAGGCTGAACAATAGACGTAAGCGTAAAACAGATTATGGAATATTTAAGCTACTGATTGTGCGTTGGGATTTTCCATTAACACTGGTGTAATTGAGTGAAACATTCCCATCTGTTACTGTTTGAATTGCTGACACACMGGGGCGTTATTAGATTGGACCAATAAACCCACTGCAACAACATGGCAACCACTACAGAATAACAAGGGAGCAGTTAGGTATGAAAGCTACATGATGCTGTAACAACCGTGTGGAAGACATCCGAACTAAAGCAATGAGCTGCAACATCGGAGATCAGCTGTCTGTAATTTGCACAACTCAACACGACTTATGTTTCATTCTTTACTGACGGGCGGTACCTACCCTGGGTTTGAAGGCRATCAGCTTAAGGATCATCTCCACTGTAAACAGTCCGGTGAAGAGCATGTTGAGGATGTTCATTGCATCGTTAAAGTTTTTGGTCTGCCCATGATGCTGCAAAAAACCCCCACAAACGAGCCGTTAAGGAATTATTGAAGGTTTCAGTTTTAGGGCTGGGGAGCACTCGTGCGACTCACCTGCATAGCCAGACAGATGGTGTTGAGGAGGATGAGTGTGAACATCAGGTACTCAAAGTAGGTGGAGTTGACCACGTACCACACCTTGTACTGGTAAGGGTTCTTGGGGATGTAGCGGCGCAGAGGGCGAGCCTTCAGGGCGTACTCCACACACTGACGCTGTAAAAAACAAAAAGTGAATCTTTAGATGGGATTTAAAAAYACAAGGAGGAGGTTGTTCCAGAGTCTGTGGTCTGCCACTGCAAAAGCCTGATCCCCTCTGTGTTTTAATTTAACCCTCGGCTGCACTAAGCTGCACTCTTAATTAATAAAAAAATAATAATAATTCAGATACAGCCCAAATGTTGTCTATAGCGCTGCTAAACCACACAAACACRAAACCTACCTGGTTTTTGTCCAGCTCACAGTTCTTATACTCTTGTTCTCCTTGCTCCTGGAATGTGACGATGACGAAACCGACGAAAATGTTCATCATGAAGAAGGCGATGATGATGATGTAGATGATGAAGAAGATGGAGATGACCACGCGGTAGTTGTAGATGGGGCCGACGTCCTCCGCGTGGGAGTCGATGGCTCGGTACAGTAACCTAACAAACGGCAGGAGGGAGTCATTTTAATTCACAGGAACGTAAACAGCGGACCTTTAGCACACGTGGACAGAACACGTTGACTGTGATTTTTTATAAAGGCATACCCAGGCCAGCCCTCAAAAGTGGACACAGCGAACAGAGCCATCATTCCTTGCAGGACGTCGTCAAAGTTGAAATCGCTGTTCTCCCAGAGTCTCAGAGCCTTTTCAGGCTTCGTCACATCCCCGTCCTTATACAGGATATAAGAACCCCTGAAACACAAAGACACACACTATTAGTGCAACTGATTTTATAATTTAAAAAAATTGGAGCAAAAGAGGCTTCCTCCTACCTGCAATCCGCCTGAGTCTGCTTAGAGCTGTCGGTACAGTAGAAGAACTTGCCCTGATTGAAAGATGTCGAAAATCAGTAAAAGTCCCTGAGATTTTTTTTCCCTCGGATCCCAGTTGTGTCTGCTCCTTTCTTACCTTAAACAGCTGCACTCCAATACAGGCGAACATGAACTGGAGCAACGTGGTGACGATGACGATGTTGCCGATGGTCCTGATGGCCACAAACACACACTGCACCACATGCTGTAAAAAGAACCCACACAAAAACAACAACAGTGAATGCTTTATGTCTCTCCAGTCAAGAAGACAGTTTTTTTTAATATATGAGAAAGTGGGAACCTTTAGTCCTTTAGCCCGGTTGATGGCTCTCAGTGGTCTAAGAACTCGCAGGACTCTCAGGATTTTCACCACGTTAATTGCACTGGACCTGAAAAATAGCAGAAAATAACAGAATGGCAAGTCAAACGGATTTAATAGATGTTTCTCTTAGAAAACCTGCATARAAAAACAAAAAACAAGAAACAAAACAAAAACACAGAGATATGACAAAAGCAAAAAATATTACATAAATGAGTGATTTAAAAAAATTCGACAAGACACATGATGCAAAATAATCATAAAACAGCAGCTATGATGCTAAGTAATGTCACTATTACATGTTTTTTTAATTATTCAAATTCATCATATTTTTATTTTAAACTTTCCACTTACATGTCTTCACAGATACATTTTATTCTGTACATGTTTTAATGTTATTGTTAATTATTGAAACAACTAAAATAATCACATTATACAACCCCAATTCCAGAGAAAAAAATTGAGACATTGTATGAAATGTAATTAAAAACAAAATAGAAATCTCACAGTTTGCAATGGAAAGCGGCAAAAAATTTAAAATGCTTAAATTAGAAAATTGTACTTTTTATTTAAGTTATATTTAAAGTTTATGGCAGGACTGCATCTTAATAACATCGGGACAGGGCCATGTGTACCATGATGAAACATCCCTTTTTTAACAGCATTGTTAAAACAATATCTTACTTTAAACATGCAAGGTATTTTCTGCACAAACATATTGTCTAGATAGGAGCATTTATTGTTCTAAAACCTGCTGCTCTTTATTGAAGGCAATGCACTCCTATACCGTCAGAGAGGCAGGGCAGTAACAAGGTTTCCAAAAATGATTTTTAAATTTTAATTAGTCTATTTGTTTTTAGACACAATTTTCTTATGGACTTGTTGCAAATTAATCTAAATAGTTACAAATACATCCTCCAGTTGTTTCCTTTTCATGATCCTTATTTTATTTATTTGCTGACATCCCATAAAATTCTAAATTACGTTACTGTGTCCAAAAATCGGTACAGTTTCTTAGTTCAAGCATTTTGTTTACCATGTTCCATTGAGAAAAAAGAGATTCAAAAATCAGTGCATTTCGTTTTTATTTACATTTTATACAATGCACCACCATTTAGGGTTGGGGTTGCATACTTTTACTTAAACAAATGTAAATTCAATATGTACTAAAATCACTACTCAAACAAATGATTGACAATAGCTTTTAGCCACAAAACACATATGGTCAATGATACCCACATGTATCACATAAACAGCGACACATAAAAACACACACACACACGGACTTTTACAGGCAAACAGAGAAGAACTGTGCTGTAAAAGAGTGTCAGTACAAGCCAACGGTTCAAAGGTGTGACCCTTTAAAGGAAGTGCTTAAAAAAACCGTTTTAAACACTGAAAGAAGAATCAAATTAATACGATGACATTTTGAATTCAACACTAATTATTTAAAGAACTGAAAAATTGTCTTTTTTTTCCTGGGATCTGTGTTAGATCCCTTATTATTAGCTCCTAAATGTGCTAATTATGAGGCTCACCAATGTGCTTTAGTTTCAGCGAAGAGATATAAGTGATTTGTTCAGATGAAGGGAGAACAAATCAAGTTCTCTCTTTTCATAAAAGGATATTCAAAATGTCAGTGTATGTTCTAAAAAGGAGGTGACGTTTTGGGTGGTTAAAGGAGTGATTTATTATTTAGAAAAGAGGAAATAGGAGGAAAAATACACCCGTTGGGCAACTCTTTACAGAGGGAGGCAAAGTTTTGTTGCAGTTAAAGGCAGTTGGTGTGGAGTGGGACATGATCAGCCATATCACAGTCAAACCAGCTGTGAGGATATGCTCTATAGTTTCAGCACAAATCCATCAAAGAGTCAAAAGCAACTTAATTGTAACGTTCTTAGCAAAAAAGTTGCTGACAGCGATGAAGAACACTATTTACCAACCACCTGATGACAAGAAGTACTCTATCCATCTATAAGAAAGCAAACATACATATGAGGTCATAAGAGGTTGATATTGTTATCAGCCAAGATGCCATTGTTCCTTTATTTATGGTGTTGTTGTGTCTCATTTATTCAGAAGCAACGCAAACGAGCTATTTCACTAGCTTTACAGGAAAGTTTCGTTTAAAAAAAAAATCATCCAATTTTCCAAGTTTGCTTTGCTCTTCTTTCAGTACAATATGCAAACAAACAAACAAACAAACAAACAAATAGAAAAGAGATGTATCTACCCTAAAATGTGTAATAATTATGCAGCAATAACAGCAAAAGGTCCTTACAGGCACAAAAAAAATGGAACACCATCACAATTGATTTAACTGTGATGCATTCAAAAGGAATCCCACACACTCACTCACTACCTTTAACAGGCAAAACCCACTGAGTTTAACATTCATGTGTCATTTTTATAGCCTAGGAGAGTTCAGCTTATCCACACATTATAAATGATTTTGACCTATTAAATAAACATTAAAGCTGCCTGGAGAATTGGAGGTTAATTTAATGCAAAGGAAAGGATATTTTTCCTGTTGAAGTACATTTTATTGCAAACAAACAAACAAAACAACAACTTATAATACGATTTTGGAAAAAAAACTATTTTCTTACAAATCTATAGACACATTTAGCTTTTTATTTCCTCACATTTTAATTCASACTTTGACTTAAACTCTCCAAGACCATAGAAATATCAAATCAAAGGAGTGACATATTTACACGGTTAAGGTGAAGGGCTGTTAAAAAGGGGTTATTGACACGGACTAATACGGACTTACTTCGAGAAGTCTAGGCTATTAAGCATTAGAGAGAGAGCGTAGCATAGCATATTAAACACAAACATCACAGCATTTCAAGGTGTTATTAGAAGCAGAAAACATACGTTTGAATGAAACATCACAAAGAGAGACAGCTTTTAGGGGTAAGGTGGTGTGGAGTTCTTTAGAGCAGAGTGAAACGCTTTTTCAGACAGTTAGAACTTGTGTATTTAAACGTAAGCCAAAAGCAGTAGCCCTCTATTCATGTAATAAGACGTGTGTAATGGTTATATTTGAATTGCTGTGAAAAGTTAGAAATATCTGTGTACACAGTCTTAGTGAAAATACTTGAGAAGTGTCACTAAGATGGTAAAGCATGCACAAAGAAATCATGATGATGCACTCACTGGATTCCAGAAGAGATGAGGGAAACGCTGACCACAACTAAGTCCAGGATGTTAAAATAGTTTCTGCAGAATGATCCTTTATGGAGGAAGGCTCCATATGCTGTCATCTGCAAACAAACACATATTTTAATTTGTAGAAGACGCATGTGAACCCTGTACTCAAAAGCAACACAGAGTCTATAACATTTAACCTTGAATGACTGAGTTGATATTCTGTTTTATAACATTAAATGTTTTTATGAGCATCAGTTGGTTAGTTACTACTATCAGTTATTGATGAGCCTGAAAATTGCTGAACAAGCTGTTTAATAAGGAAAAACTGCCAACATAGTCTCCAAGAAAGAAGCTACCTAATAACTAGCTAAAAAGCTAGTGTCGTATCAGTACTCAGTATCCGTATGTATTTAAATGTAAGTTGAAAATCAACATCTTAATCACAATACGATATATCAATTTGTTTGGATGACGATAAAAAGGTTTTGACATTAAAAAGTCATTGATGATACAATTTTGATTCAATTCACATGTCTGCGAGTGATGATGCAATATCATATAACAAGCATTTATGCTTGTGATAGATGATGACATGATCAATGCTTTTGTTTTGTCTTGATATTACTGAATCAATCATTTCATCAACATATTGTGGATCGATGTATTGTTACACCCCTATTTAGTACTATAGGGTTATTCAACTAAAATGCTCACTGGGCCACAAATRAAATGTATTTAAAATCTAATTTATATTAAATGAAGTCATTGACAGACATTTATTATCAAAGTCTAAAAAAATTGTTCTTTTTTTCAATTTTTAATTAAGTCATCTCCACCTTAATCAGAATGAAGTCACCCACAGGCCACATACGGCCTGTGAACCACCATTTGAATAGTGCTGAAGTACTAGTATTCAGTACGTAACAAAGTATTTTTGATGCATCCCTAATTTAATGTACACACATACTTCATAGTACTGTAAAAAAAAGCAAWAAGTACCTTTAAAATGATCTCTATGGTGAAGAGTCCAGTGAAGACATGATCTGCATAGCCCAGGATCTGAAAACCCAACAAGCAACACTGCAATGCTTTTATCTCTTCATATAAAGGAGGCTTACTGAACATGCAGAAAACAAAAGCTTTAAATAATCTGTCTGACTCATTTTAAATAATAAAGATATAATATAGTAAAGAGCAAAGCTGTTAAAGCTGAACTTACTGTCAGTAAAACAAAAAGTCCAGGTGAAAGGACAATAAAAAAAAGCCTAAAAACCAACCCATTCTCACTCCCGAGTCGTCACATATTGACGTTTTTCAAAGGTCCCTTTGCGTCCAATTTGGACGCATCAGGTACCCCCCTTGCGTCATATTTTGACGGGATGGGGCGGAATCTGTTGTCGTAATTTTTCAAAGTGTAGAAAATGCACAAATACTACCGTCCCAAAGCGTGAAATTACGTGTATTCACTTTAGACATCCTGTCCCAGACCCTAGTACCTAAAATTAACCATTAACCCTGATACGTAAAATTAACCATTTTTAGAAAATGTAGGAAATTCATGGCAACTACGTGTTGCAAAGCCTAAAATTACCTAATGTTCACTGTAGACATCCTATCCCTGACCCCAGTCCCTAAACTTAACCATTTATCCTGATCCCTAATGTTAACCTCAGACCCCCGACCCAAAGACCCCTGGTGGCGCAACCCGGAAAAGCCGCGGGCGGCAAGGACTGACGCGAGGGGGGTACCTGATGCGTCAAAATTGGACGCAAAGGGACCTTTGAAAAACGTCAATATGTGATGACTCGGGAGTGAGAATGTGTTGTAAAAACACATCCAAACCTCAAATATACAATTTAATTCATTCAGATTTTAAAGATTAATTGGTTTGCCCAGTAAAACATCTTCTACCAAAGCCAGGAAAATGCTATAAAACAGATCTTTGTTGGCCCCAGGAGACTCTTCTGCTGACATAGAGAGGAAACAATGTACATAATCAAATACAGCGCAGAGTGCACGGTCTTTCCATTATACTGCAGCACGATTTGGTCCATAAACACTTTAATTATTAATACAGCATGTGAACAAATTATTCATTAGTAAATACTACAGAAGATACACAAACAGTAAATCGTCTGTAATTTTAGAGCGTGCTCGAGGCAGAATGGCTCTGCTCCCCAGCTTACTCCGAAGTAAAACTAAGGAGAGATTGTGTGAACACTGAGTGCAACACATTTAAAACACTTCCCTGGTTAATTTAAGGTTAAAAATAAGAAGCACTTTGAGGGCGGCACTCAATACAAGCAGTGAGTTGATCTGAGACAACAGACCAGAGGAGATGCTTTACATTTTCTTCGTGTGAAGTTAATAATAGTTACAGTTCTGGAAGCAATCTCATTAAGTGTAACAGGCCAGTTAGAAAAGCTTTGGTTCTTCTTTATGCTGTTGTCAGCTATAATCCATTTAGTTCATAATAAATGTGTGTGGGCAGCTAATGATGGCAACAAAGTCTTCAGTCAGTGCCTTAATGTTCTGTTTATCCGGTTTCATATGGATGGTGGCCCGGAGGTCCATTTCACAACATTATGCAGATCCTTATCCTTTTGCGTTTTGCTAGATTTTGTCTTTTCCTGCTGCTAATATTTGATTTTAACGTTGTTTTGTTGGATTGGTTCCACTGATTACGAGTTAGAATTGTGTTTGCTTAAAAAAAAAAAAGTTTGGTGGTAAATGTCACCTGATTTCTGAAGGAGTCGTTCTTGACGGGGTCCTCTGCTGCCAGACTGATGCTGCTTAGCAGGATGAAGAAGAGGATGAGGTTGGTGAAGATGTTGTGGTTGACAATCTTGTGGCACAGAACCCTGAACCTGTGGAGCAAATAGTTGTTGAAAGAAACAGAATGGGAGAATTACGAGTAAATGTCTTGATACAGAGTAGGCGGGTTTTAAATCAAACAAACAAAAAAATAATTAAATAAAAACYGTGTAAAAAGCTTCAAAGTGGCTCTGGTTAAAATAAGAAAATGTTTGATATTTTACTTGTTGGTGTGGCTGAAGATGAAGAATGCGCGCGCCTCAGGCATCGGAACAGCCTTCTCTTTAAGCTGAATGTCAGAAAGTGGGCGGGGCCTCGGACCAACGGGCATCTCTGGCTCATCCTCATCCTCATCGCCTGATTAGGGAATGATAATGTAAAATGACTGATGGCTTAAGAACACAAAAAGTGTTATCGTTGCTGACAAATCATTGTTTATTAATGTTACCAATATAATCATTAGCAGGATAAGGATTCTTCTCTTCACTTTCATCTCCACAGCAGTCGTCCATGTTTATCTGCAACATTAAAGTGTTTTGTTCATTCGTCAGCTAATGGATGCACTTATTGAAAACTGTGGATTTATTTTCTCTGCATACCTTTGTCGCTGTGTTGGTTTCCCCATCAGAGGTGATGGACTTCAGCTCTATCTTCTCGCTTTTCTTTTCCTCCAGAGGTGGCTTTTCGTTTTCCTGGCGCTTTTCTGGACTGGCGAGCCTGATGAAAAGCGGAAAATCATCTACCTTTAGCGCCGACTAATTTTTGTGCTGTTATTTCTATAACTCGCACAAAAGTTCACATCAGACAGTTGCTTTTCAGCGACACAAAGAACCCCGAGCTGTTTTGACCAAACCCAAGGGACAGCCAGCGGAGAAATGATTTTTTTTTCCATTTTTGCTTTCCCCTCAAATCAATACGAGTCGCAACCAAGAGGGAAACATAATGATTAGTTTCACTGTATAACACCATCTTCCCCTGCTGTTCTAAAAAAACTCACATAATTATTGGTGACAAATTACTTTTACTGGATGCAAAAGAAATCCCTAATAAATTTGTTTTGAAAGAAAAAGCAAAGCAGGGGAATGACAGCCTGTGTGGAAAACCTACAGAATATTTGTGCAACAGCTTTTAAGGAGCTATTCTCAGCTGCTTTAAACTACCTCCAGCCATCACTGACTATCCAGGACTGAGCTCTCTTTGGTGCTCTTGAGACTTCCTAAACATCTTCTTTCTCTTCTTCCTCTAAAACCTCTTCTGTTGGCAGGAGACAAAATAGTTTTCTCCTGTCGCATTCTTACTAAGCTCACTGATTGCCTCCCTAGGTTTCTTGTTTTTTTTTCTGCTTCACCTGGCTAGTTTTTTCCTCTCCTTCGCCTCCTCCTCTTCTTTCTGGGCCGATGTGAGACTCTCTGCGTCTGCCAGATTGTCTACAGCGATGGCCAAGAAGACATTCAGCAGGATGTCTGTTCAGAAGTGTGATGTTAAGGAGGGAGCAAACCTGGGACATTTTGCAGTAAGTGATCTCAAACAGCTCTGTAGGGTAAAAAAGAAACATGATAAATGAAATAATGCATATACACCACCTATCTTGTGCTGCGTTCACACCGAACGCGATTTCAGCTTCAAAATCGCAGCCAACGCTGAAGTTTGAAGCTTGTGCGCTTTGAGGTCAGACGCAGGTCAGCTCTTGAAGCGCTGCACGGCAACCGCCTCCCCGCCCCTCCCCCCTCTGTCGGGCTCTGTTTAATGTTGGACGAGGAAGTAGCTTTGCTTTATTTACAGAGAGCAAGAGCATGTCACGTTCATCAGATAATTAATTCATAATTAATTCACCAGTTAATTCAGAGTAGAGGCTCACAGCTCGCTTTCAGGACTATTTTTCCAGTCTGATGAGCCGCTGCCACGCATTGGTGCRGATATCTCTGTCAGGACACCGACTGCAGGCACTCGATTTCAGCTAAAGAGCAGGAGCTCTGTCTGTTTCAGGTTAGTGGACATCATTCAGTAAACTGTCCCGTCGGGAAATATGTCGCTACGTCACACAGTGGAGTCTCTCTGATTGGTTGACGCGGCGCGTCGAGCTGCAAAAGTTCAGATTTTCTAACTTCAGCGATTTGCGCCTCAGCGCGTCAAACGCTCAGATCGTTCAAATCGTTCAAATCGCGCTGCTCTAATCGCGCTTGAGGCGTCGCAGAACTTCCCGACATTGCTTGAAGCGCGTCCACCATGGACTTTGTATGTAAACCTGAGGCTCCTGATGCTGAAATCGCGTTCGGTGTGAACGCACCATTAGACTAAAATTATTTTATTTTATGTCCGGAAGTTTGAATCATTTTGGTAAATCTTACCCATTAGGTGCAATCCAATGAAATATTGCATAATCTTRTATGAGCTCAGAGTGTGTGTTACGAATGACGGTCAACTACTACCACATTCAATTTGAACTCTAGATCTGTAAAAGTGACCAAGTTATAGATATTTCTGTGTTCACGCAGACTGTCAAGAAGAATTTGATGTTTATTTAGAACATTCAGAGTGACTATCAGAGAGAAATTAAGAGTCAAATAATGACACACACACAAAAAAAGAGTCAAATAATGTTTCAATAAACAAAGACCGGGGAGTTTTGTTTAATAAAAAGTTCCCCTTTGATGTCACTTCCTGTTTCACTTTGGCTGAGCCAAGTTCAGAAGAAAGTATGCCAGTTGTGTGTCAAAAATGGGTAAACTCTTGAGCATTATGCCAATGCTCTTAAATGTAAAGATGTTTTCTTTGACCTTTTTGTATTTTAAGGATAAGCATGTCACAGGCACGTTAAAATGGAACAACATTCAGTTACTACCCCAAATAATTGTAGTTCAGGGGTGTTCAATCCTGGTCCTTGAGGGCCACTATCCTGGTGATTGTTAGGCTTCTCTGCTCTAACACACCTGATTTGATTTAATGGGTGATTAACCGGCCTTTGCAGAACTTGAAGAGGTAATTCAGTCAGTGTGGCAGGGGTGTTGGAGCAGGGAAACAAGTAAAACATGAAAGATAGCGGGCCTCAAGGACCCTAGTTTAGCTCAATATCTGTAAAAATGGTTGTGTTTAAGACATTACACCCACCCCTAATATATAGACTAGTATGTATCCTACGTARGCTTCATGTAAAAGGATACAGTTTCCGCAGATGAAGAGGATGATAAAGTAGATGCAGACCAGCATGCCAGGAAAAGACGGACCCCCATACGCCATGATACCATCATACATAACAGAGTTCCAGTCCTCTCCTGTTAGAATCTGTGATGAGGAAAGCAAAAGAAGAAAGTGTTCTGCCAACGATTAACCCCCAAACAAAACCACGACACAAAGTTTTAATTGAAGCACAAAGTGGACACGAAACACTGCAGCAAGGTGACCTGAAACACGGTGAGCAGAGACTGCGGAAAGTTGTCGAAGGTGCTTCGCCTGGTCTCGTCAAAGTTGAACTTCCCCCCAAAGAGCTGCATGCCCAGCAGCGAGAAGATGATGATGAAGAGGAAGAGCAGGAGCAGCAGGGAGGCGATGGAGCGCACCGAGTTGAGCAGCGAGGCCACCAGGTTGGAAAGAGAGTTCCAGTATCTGTAGGAGAGAAACCGAACGGATGTAGAGGAAAAAGCAACATATATTCGAAAGACATGCAGATTTATGGTCGCAAAATAAATGAAAATGCCATGCAGCTGATAATAACCTGGTTATTTTGAAGATTCTGAGCAAGCGTACGCAACGTAACACGGAAATGCCGAGAGGAGACATGATCTTTGTTTCGACCAGAATGGTCTCGAGGATGCCCCCGCACACTACGAAGCTGTCGAACCGATTGAAGAGTGACACAAAGTATGCCTGCGGAGAGCAAAAAGTTACGTTTTATTCCTGATAATCACACAATTTGACCAAAACACCTCACGGTGCTGACAACCACCCACCTGTAGGCCGAGACTGTACATCTTCAGCAGCATCTCACCGGTGAAGAGTGCCAATAAAACTTTATTAGCAATGTCTACAATACAAAAACACAAGTTCGTCAAGACTTCAGTTCATATCCAGAGGTTTAATTCAGGTATTTTGCGTTTGATGTACCTTGCACATCAGTTAGCCACTGCGGCTGCTGGTGATGTTCAGAAGCAATGGTCAGCGTGTTGAGGAAAACCAGGAAGATGACCAGCCAATAAAACACCTGCGACTTGACTGCTGCRCGGCACTTCCTCCGACACAACCTGTTCCACCTCCGAGAGTAGCGACTGAGAAGGACGAAGGGCAAGATAAGAGATTGGGAGGCGAGGAGAGGAGAGATGGGTCGGATTGACGGGGTGAGAAGGCAGAAGATGAGGAAAGAAACAAGACACAATCGAAAGAATTAAGGGAGAAGAGTGAAAGACGAGAAGCGGAGAAGAAAGATAAACAGAAGAAAGTCGATAAGTTGGAACCGAACTGCGATGACATCAGCCCTCTGTCCGTGGTTATCTGTTGTTTTAAAGCGAGCTGCGGAACATTAGTCATCCTCAAAGTTTTTTACATCAACTCGAGGAGGTTTGTTACACAGTAAACGCACAAAACACACTTGAAGATGCAAATTTTAAGCTAAATGTGTTGTTGTATTCAGATCAAGCAATAAAAAAAAGGGTTTGGGTTTTTTTCCTCTCCAGCTTCACAATTTTCAGTTCAATCTATTTGTGAGTAACAAAAAGGGTCACACTATTTGATTTTTTCATCAGCACCCGATTTCTTTCCTCTGAGTGAGTGGTGTCAAAATTGAAGGCAACAACCTGTGCATTGATTGTGTTTGTGCTGGAAAATATATAAATATATACTGTGTATAAATCTTGCTTTAGAATTTCATAAAGTTTTTCATCCCATATAAGCTTATAGGTTTTGCTTTAATAAACAACCAAAACTTCCAAATGAGGCAGAAGTGGGCATGGATAGAGACATGTCTGTTTATTCCTGTGGTTTTATTCATAGGGTTACATTGGCAGAAGATGGTTGTGTTTAAGCAGTAACACTGGTAAAAGTAAGAAAATTAYCCCAGCTGACATTTTCCTTGCTGTTCTTGTAACCATTAGGGCCTGTGTATAGTTTTTAAATCTAATTAAAGTTTCATTATGTCCGTTGTAAACAAAAGACCCACCAGTCTATCTCTCTCAACATGCATTTGTTTCAGATGCAAATAGTTGCTTTGGAAGTTTTCCATCAGTAAAAATATCACAGCTAAACATCACGGCTCAGAGCACATTGTTCTCATGGCAACAAATATATAAAGTAATTATTTTCCACGATAAAGTCGAGGCATATTTGTAGGGATATCATGAAGCATTCACACTGAGGTGATTCATTTTTCGTCTGTACATTTTTCGGCATGTAACTCGTTCCACAGTTTTTGTTATTTCAAATATTTATATATCAAAATGCTCAGCTCTATCCAGACATTCTGACTAATACCTTTAGTATTTCAGACATTCAAACTTTTTGAAATAGTTAGCTTTTTCCAGTCATTTTTTGTTCTCATTGAAAATGAATGGAGCCATCTTCAACAACTTTAAAACCTTTCACAGTGTTTATTAATCTTTATTATACTCTTCACTTTTCTGCTAACTCAAACTTGCAAATTGCAATCGCAAAACTTTTATATTCTTTCTTCTGCAAAAATGATTGAGCATTCAGGCTATATTTTCACGGAAAATTCTCTCATTATTATAGCATTCTCTAAATTGTGAAACAAACATAACATGACATCAGTTATTTTTTTCTTGTCTGCTGCAGATACTATATGTATGTACTGTATACTGAACTGTTCTCCATCTCCTGATTAAAACAGATCAACACAGCTCAACAGGATGCTCTCCCTGTTTTTGCCTTTATCTATAGAAATGTGATGTTAAACACTGTTCCTGTGAAAGAACCATAATTTTGTGTTTTTCCTGAGCTGTAGTTACCCAATTTTGTTTTCATAGCTTATGCTTCCTGTTTTATTTTGATAGCTGTGCTTTTGCTTTTGTTGACTTCCTGTTTGCAAAGATTTTATTGGCAGGTTTTTGGTTTGTCTGTTTTGCCACCCAGGATTAGCAGCTTATAAAGCAACTTCTGAATAGGTTCAGGATTTTTTTTGTACTGCAAACCTGGTTCACCTTTTTTACCTGTCAAGATGGGAAGATTGATGCAACTCTTATTAAGCAAATTGGTTAAATGGTGGAAGAAAAGTGTGGTTTTACCAGCCAAACAGTAAATTAYCTATAATTTATATTTTAAAAATTGCATAAAGTCCTAATTATTGGGCTTTAACTCATCTGTAAATTATTTTTGTTTCAAAGTTTAATTTTATTATTTTTCATTGAACACAAATCACAGACACATGTACACACAAACACAGTCACCAAACAAATACCACAGCATTATGGTAAACATGTACTAACCTGAACTTGGATTTGGAGATCCTATTTCTGGAACACAGAAAACAGAATGGATTATACATACACACATAACACACACACGGACAAGTAGACATGACAGAGGTGATTTGAGAGGGAAAAACAAGGGCTCATCTTCCCTCGTCATCACAAGTGCTTCATTAGTTTTAAAAGTTTAGGTACAAAGTAGTTTCTGATTAAAGAATTAAAGATAAAAAGCATAAAAGATGTTTGTTTTGTCTGAAATAGAATCCAGATCATCAAACAATCTAATCGTGCTGATGACAAAAGGTCAATTTGTGCATTTTTATGCACTCACACTAAATTATCATTCTTATTTCATTGTGAACAAATCACCCCCTGTTAACACAAATACAGTGGCATCCAGTCAAAAGAAAACAGTTTGAGTATCCTCCAATCAAAACTTGTGCGGGAGGAAAAAAAAGAAAATTTTATTGATGGAAAAAGTCTGTTGATTGTTCACCACTGTAACAGCAAAAAGTACAACACAGAGAACTGAGGACAAGAGATCATGGAAGACAGTCTGACAGAAGAAAGTCGAAACATTCATCTCAATTTATGAACTTTTGAATCTTTAGAAAACTCCACAAGCAAAAAGCAGCTTTTACTGGGACAATGTGCGCCCTGTCCCTTTACATTTCCTTTAAGTGAGGTTTTCATTCAACTGTGTTCTGACTTGTTTACTAAAAACAGATGGATGCCTATCCGAACAACTGACTGAAACGTTAAAATGCCTTGCTGAAGACCTGAAAGAAAGAAAGAAAGAAAGAAAGAAAGAAAGAAAGAAAGAAAGAAAGAAAGAAAGAAAGAAAGAAAGAAAGAAAGAAAGAAAGNAAGAAAGAAAGAAAGAAAGAAAGAAAGAAAGAAAGAAAGAAAGAAAGAAAGAAAGAAAGAAAGAAAGAAAGAAAAAGCCTGAATGACTGACTGTCTGGATATGGGACCTGACAGTACATCCATCTCCTCATCTGTCCGACTCAATTAGGAGATCAGCAGGTGCTGAAGCAGCTCGTATCTCTGGGTTTGTCTCGCAGCGATGTGAGGAGGGACTGACAAACACTAAACATCTCTTATTTTCTACCAAGTGGAAGGAAATGTCTGCAGGGAGGCAGAAAAATCCACTTATTTTTCTAAAAAACAAGAAAATACAACCTTTTAGATATTTTGTATTGATACCTTTACCGATTAAGTGCAACACAATGGTTTCTAATAAAACTTGTTACTAATCAAGCCCATCTCTGTTTCACTTTTCTATTTGAGGCCCAGCTTGTTAACTCTTGGCTCTGGTAACAAACAGAACCATCTGTTTGATCCATCTTTAATCAAACCATCAACACAAAGTTCAATCAGTGAACTGCAGCTCCCACAGTTGACYCGTCTCACCTGGAGGTTTAGGATGCAGACCGGAACTGTTTCAGTTTTGGCCATTGCATTGGTTTGGCAAGAATGAAGCTGTTGTTTGAGATTTAAAACTTCCATTTTAGAAAAGTTTAAGATGTTTTTTTTTTTTTTTAAAAGAGGATTTTCACTGTCATTACACTAAGAAAATAGCAAATTCTTATCTTATTATCTTATCTTAAGTTCTGCTGGCATCAAATTTGTGAAATTTGTTCTAGGAAGACAACAAAAATAATCATCTGTGTCTGTTGAATAAAATATTCAGATGTATTCACTTTGCTTTTGTTCTATTTTAAAAAAATGTTACCAGTTTTTTTCTGTGAATGCAGCTGGTAAATCCATTCTGCCCCGAGCCACAAAACAATATTTTGTTCCTAAATTGATCAAACTCACTGTAAATGTAATACAAACTAAAAAAAAAGAAAGAAATTTGAATTTGTTGCTTTTCTTTCTCAGATTCAGGTTGAATTTAAAAGTAAAACTACTCTAAACTGCACGTTTTAGTTGTTTTCCTGCCACCTGATTTAAATGAATGAGTGATTGACAGGTTTCTGCAGAACTTAAAGACCTGCTGAAGAGAAAGGAAACACCTAAACAGTGCAGGATAATGGTGCTCAAGGACCAGGAYTGAGAACCACTGGTCTATAGTGTATATTTTAGTTTTAGATATTTTACATTAAAATGAACCAAGTAAACACAAAAACCAACAAAATACCAGACGGACATCAAAACAAATATTTCTGTCTGTGTTGACCTTACGGTCCCTTAAAGCATATTTTAAACACAGTTTGAATCTGAAATTTGCTGGAACATTCTTTTTYTCTCGCAACAGTCACAACAACGAGGGCTCTGTGTGTGCGTGCTCGGGTCACGGCTCCTGTGAGGTCTTGCGTCTACGGAAGAAAGCAACTCATTTGTTTGAATAATGTAAAAAAATGAAAGCAGGGGGGAGAGYGGGAGTGAGTGAGTCAGCTGTTTGCCGGCTCCCGCAGGGGAATAAGAAAAGCATTTTWAAAACACACGCAGAAAAGACACATGGGTCAGAAACACAGGAAGGGAAATGTAGGAGAAAGAAAGGTGGATTAGCTATTCCTTTATGTTGGTAAGATCCCAAATTTGTACATTTCTATTTTAATTAAGACCCCAATACATAAAACTAAATAAAGTCCAGCTTTATTCTAGAAAAAAGAAACAAATAAAACCTGAAGTCATTTCATAGATTTTAAAAATTAAGCAGCGTTATTATTTGTCTCTTCCACTCAGGTTCATTTAAATTAAAGTTAGAACTAAATGAAGCGTATTGATGATGTAATGTTTCTCCACGGTGCATGACTGTAAACAGTGAGCCTGATGAGACAGAAGGCTGGTTTAGTTTGGATCGATGAGGGATGGAGGCAGGCCGAGCCCCCCGTCACCCCTCGTCTAACACGATGGAGGCAGATAGTTCTCTGTGGGAACGACGGAACAGAGAGACTCGAGGAACGGAGGGATTGGGAGACGAGGGTGAGGTAACTTACGCCAGCCTGGTGCAGCAGGTCTCCCCCTCCACGTCTCCCCCGGGGGCGTTATCGGTGTTCACCGATTCATTCTCACTGGCCGGCATGCTCACTGTGAGACAGATGCAGAGAGAAAAAAAAACAAAACAAAAACAAAGATGAATCAGGAAAACAGCATCGATTTACATAAGATTCTTCAAGTTTACCGCTTATTTTTGGCTACAATTGCACAACTACTAATCTAAAATGTGCGTTTACTCAATGGATTTAAAACTTTGATGTTGAATTCAAAGTTTAAAGAATTTTAGGAGAAAAAAAGAAAAGAGTACACTGTGTGAATAAAATTGCTGTTAATTTAGCCAATTTCATCAAATTTCAGGAAGAAAAGACACCATTATAAACATATACTCTGTCAACTTTACTCGTTTCCAAAATATACATTAATTTCCTGAATTAACAAAGTTCTGCCGTTTATCTTTTCAGAAATGTTTTTAATGGCYATTATAATTCTGTTTGAGTTTTATTCTCTAAACTTATTTGTAGTTATACAAGTACATATAAAAACTTGATTATATTCTACTTATTGGTTCCTAAACCTCAGAGGAGATGTCGGATCTTCACATTTAAATGTCCTATCACACTGAAAATCTCCTCTAAATAATTTATCAGACATGTAGCAGAAAGTTTTCCTCCGTTTAGAGTGCCGATGATGCAAAAAGATAGAGATGGATTGGGGGAAGAGATTTAATGTGACAAATATGAATTGGTGAATAAGAATGGAAAAGTGTTTAAAAGAGTAAAAATAAGAAAAAAAATGGACGGCAGAGTGGAGAATGATGGAGAAAATGTAAGTTGTGTAGAGGGTAGGAGATAAAGCAAAGAAAAGGAAAAAAACATGGAAATGGCTGGTTGGGTGATAGAAAATGATCCGTTCCTTTTTATTGCTTTTGTCAGGTTTTTTTTTAGCTGCACTCCTCTGACTATATCACCTCTTGTTGGTGTAGACACCAGAATCAGGTGCTGGATAYAAACATCAATGCATTTTGTGCTAAAATAAGATACAAACTGTTCCAAAAATGTCAGATTAGAAACATAACATGTGCTTTTCTTATGTTTCTTAACGTTTTAGTAGTGTTTCATAGGGATTATTTAATAAAGTGTTTTGTRTTATAGGAGAGCCTGAAGGCACTTGGGTGACATCCTATCTCAAAGTGAGCTACAGTGCGTTAACAGGAGGCTGCTGTGCTTTGACAGATGGACATAAACGAGATCAGGGTCATAAAGATCAAGCTGGTGTCCCTGAAAACGAGCGCCTCGGCTGTGAACGCGACGCGCGTTAGCGCAGCTCTCAACACGTGTCACCTGCTGCTGCGCTGCTCGCTTAAATGGACCCGAGGCCCCGGCGCTTCCTCTGGAGGAGCCTTTTCAAATACTGTACAAAAGCAGTTCGGTGCCTTCTCCTCAATGGAGCTATGAACTAGTTTAATATCTATTATTAGAGGAAACCCCAAAGACCTGAGACACCGAGACAAGGAATGAGGAAAAGGAACATGGGAGCGAGAGAAATGACTGAAGGAAAAAAATAAAATAAAAAAATATCACATGATGGAAACAGTGGTCATGTATTTTTAGTAGAAAGGGGAATTCAGAGTTGAACAGGATGATAAAATATTTGGTGTCTCTGACCACTACAGACAGCAAAATTATTAATTATGAAATTTATGAAAAGGGATTCAGTAAATAAAAATGGTTTGACCACATGAACTTAAGATTTATTGTTTTATAATAATAATTTGATGACGCATCAAATCAATTAATAATATTCTCTAGTATTAGTTGCAGAATATTTGGAAAGGGCATAATATTTTTAAATTTTGTTTCCTTTCTCAGAGACATTTGTTGCATTTATGCAGGGATTCATTCAAAACACCTCATTTTTAACTGTGTGAACATCAGCTGGATCCTCCTGCTGAAAAAAAAAACCTAAACTGTCACTAAAACGTCTTGCTGACATTGAATGACAAATTTTCTACTTTTAAAAAAGCCAATTTTCTGTTCCTTTACTAAACAGTAAAAGGCTGTTTAGATTTGCTCTGAACACTTTTCTGGGAGTTCAGCATTAAAACTGTTTGTTCTGCTGTTAAACTCATCGAAAGGTTATGTCAGCGTTTTTTCTCCTCAACATTTTGCAAAGATTCAAAACCTTAGATAAATTTAATACATCGTACCATTTTAATACAGCAATATTGTCGTAAAACTACTTCACTCTGACGACTTGTTTTTTAAGAAAAATGTTTATAAAAACCATTATTTGCAGCATAATTTCAGACATATAAGTAAAAAAGACAATAATTATGTCTAGTGTAAATAATAAACCAGTATTTTTTTTCTTTTCTGGGACCATATGTTTGATTCAGATTTAAAATACATTAAAATAGTTCAATTTTTTTGATGTATTAGCTAAAACAGACATGAAAATAGACAAATTATTCTAATTTTGATTACCTCTCAACCAATAAAAATTAAATAATTTTTTCAACAACCATAKTCATTCACCAAATTTAAGGTGCTATTAAAATACCATGAAGTATCTATACCCACGCACTGAGTTTAGCACATGAAAGCAGGTGAAAAAAGTACATTTAAATCTTATTGTCCTATTTGTTTTCATAGTAATGCAGGAGAGGGTTCTAGGGAAAGGAATCTGAAACAACAAGGAGAGGATTGGGCGATCCTAAACATAAAAAGATATTAAATAATTTATTTTGTAACCAGCCYTCCTTGATGCCACGACCCTCTTGTTGCTTTTTCAGACAAGTCAGGCAAGTTGTTTCCTTTCAAAGTCGTTGCATCTCAGAACTGTAAAGCGTTTTCTTCTCCTCATCTCCTTTCTGCCCAGTTCAGCGCTTTTCGCTTTAACATACCGGTAATTAAAAGTTGAGCACCTGGAAGCGTCACAGAGGTTTAAAAGAAACAGACCTATAMTTTTGGTGCAATGATTGAGGTCAGAACTCCTTGCTTTCAGTGTGAAAGCATAATGATAGTCATGGTTTTAAAATGATCATTTGATGACTTCTTATCATTAAATCGTAGGTTTACAGAGGAGACAAWGAGAATAAACAGTTTTACAGAGCTGAGAGGTCACTGCTGCTAAGAGTTCGAAGCTCTAGAGAGAGTGCAGATAAAGATGCTTCAGTGAGAAGGGAGGGGAGGTTTAAAGAAAAATAAAGATTAAAAAAAGGCATAGTAAAGTGTTGAGGTTGCAGTCTGTTGCAATGCTAGAATCCATGAAATCTTGAACTAATGCCGGTCCATGCAGACGAACGCACACGCCTTACGAAGAAAAGCCGCGTTTTTCTTCACGGCTCCACGGAGAGACAGAAAACGACGAGCTTTACCTGGAGGACAGAGAGCACGACTCAGCAAGACAAGCAGGAGCATGAGCACACACGCTGCGGTGTGCACTTGGTTCTGACCACAGTGATACAAAAAAAAAAAATGCACACAAACTACAAATACAAGCACAAATGATTACAAAAAATACAGTGAATTCTCCCACAAATGTTACATTTTGCTCGTTTCGTGACTTTTGAAACAACCGTAATTTAAAGCGTAAAGGAAGTTCTGTTTGTTCTGTACAGAAATCAGAACCTTTGAAATCAGATCCAGTTCTCAAGATCTGCAGCTCCGACTCGAGAGGAATTACACAGCAGAAAACAAAGCATCTGTTACGATGAAATTATTATCCTTGCAAAAATCGAAGGAAGTTTAATTTTTTTCTTAATGTTCTCTCTGCTTAACCACACTCCTGCACTGTTTGTATTACATGCTAACCCCATTACTGAGGTCATTGTTTTGTTTGTTTTACTGCTATTTTCAGTGATTCAAGTCATGAAATAATGCAGCGTATTAGAAATAAAAGCCTTTATAATGAATCCTTCATGCTGAAACAGAAGTAAATGGTTAACAGAGCAACCAGACATAARACAGGAAGTTTAGTAATTGTTTAAACACGCGCTCGCACTGTAGATGTTGACATCTTTAACAAAGCTGAAACTAAATTGAAGCATACAGACACACAGGCTTTCGTATTCTTGGTAAGTTAGAGCATTAGAAAAAAGCGTGGTATAATGAGCTGATGAATGTGTTACAACACATTCTTCAACTTATCTTCCTAATACATCCCTAATAAATCTTTTTTAAAAGTCACAATCACACAGRTGCAAACACACACCATCCTGAGAGTCAGCAGAGTGACAGAACCAAGCAAGCTTTCTGGTCTTCTTAGTGAGGTGGGCTGGTGCAATCCCTGCCATGGCAAGATTGGCAGGGTGCCGAAGTAAGATGACAGCATGCAACAGGATGGGTGAGAACATGGAAAACACAAACACACGCACACACAAAATCCCCAAAAACAAACCAAAACAAAGTTTAAACTCTACACTTCGGAGATGACAGAAGACACATGAGAATGATCAGATGAAACGTATTACAGAATGCAGTAATTTGGCTATTTCTAACCTGAAACGTATAAAAATGATGAGATCTTTGATCATCATTAACACACCAAACAAAAAAGAGATACAAAGACTTGTTGGACACTGAACTCATCCACAAAAAGAAAAAMAAAACTTTCATAAGAAGTAGGAACTTAAAAATAGCAACGCATTTCAGCAAAACAAGCACCTGCTTGTGAAGGTACAAGACATTTTTCACTCTTTGTTCTGATGGGATGATTTTTAAAACACTCACTCACACTCGTTCTCACAGCGACTATATTTTTATCCCTTCGTCTTTGTTTTGTTCTCCCATCTCTTGCCATCTATTCCCCGAGTCTCCCATCGCCTCTTATGGCAGGTGTGCTGGGTAAAAGCAGGTCTATCCAAAAAAAAAAAAAAAGTCCTGGGCAGTGGGGACAAACTGCTCTCATTCATCTTCCAACGGGGGGGATCTATCCATCCAGGAGACGGAGGCAGAGCAATCCAAAGCGTGAGCGACTTGATTTTTCACGTTCACAAAMAGAGGATTGATGGATCTTTTCCAAGCAGAACTTTGGATCTCGAGCATCCATCATTTTGTCAGATCATCAACAGTCGATAGCCTAAGTGTTGCTGTTTATTTAACTTAATCATGCAAATGACAAGTAATTTGAATTCTTGACTACAACTATATTGGATATACGATAAGGCATTGTGCCATTTTCCAGTTTGGACACTGAAAATACCGTAATATGTGGTGGTTTCTAAATTGGCCACATACTGTATTTGTTTGTTTGTGACATATTTGCAGCATTTGTCAGAATGCTAACAGGTGAGCACAAGCAAATCAGTTCCAGGTTAAAGTCAATGGGTTATTCCTTCTTAGACCGTGATCATTTCTGGAGATACCCACTAGATTAGTTTTTTTCCCCCCTGATATGCCCTCAGTGTGTCTCGAAACGAACCACCATCTTTGTCGAAGAGGAGCAGACTGTGCAGGCTGTGTGCACAATGCATGCTGTCTCTGTATAATTACTCTTCATTATTCACTCATTCATCTCAAGTGTGAGCAAGCTGTGTTTTGGGCCCTTACAAAACAACTCTCAGTACATACTGCATGTCAGAGCCTCTTTTCCTTTCTATCCTTTACACCCCACAGCACACACACATTCATATTTTTTATCCTTATTAGAACCGTGTATTTACTTTTATTCATATCTGTAGCCTACCCATGACCTTTATCTTAAACTAAACCTAAACCAACCCTTCACACCTTAGCTCCAGTTCAAACCCAAAAATGGCACTCCACCACATTAGGACCGAGCTTTCATCATCTTAAAGTGTAGTGGTCCAGATAAGGTTAATGTGTATATAAGAAATGTCCAAAAAAAAGTAACAAAAACCAGGTACACACACACACAGACATGAGCAAAGACTGCGTTGCCTTTGGTGTCGGGTGTTAATAAAACTTCCAGGTTAAGGAAAGACAGTAAAGTCTTGGAGAAACACACTTCTTGCACGGCTGTTTCTCTCTGAAAGTGTTGTTGAGAAAAAGACAGAGTGTTAATTTGTTGTGTACATTTCCGACAAACTACAAGCACACACAGTCCTTTGGGGTGCGTGCCAGCGGAAAGTGCACATTTGTGTTTTTGACAATGTGTTTCCAGAGGCTATTAGCTGCAGTCTGACACGTTCCACTAATATCTAAACAAGTTTGAAATCACAGGAGGGTTGAATTGTAATATCTTCTCATGGTGACGGCTGCAGGTTGCTCATTTCCTGACTGTGCCTCTGTGCATATGTATGTTCTGCACATTGTCAGTGCATCCCAAACAGTCTTGGTCAAAGTTCTCATCCTTCAGTTCAGAACTTCCTCACCAGTGCCAACATTGSCAATCAACRATTCAAAAATCATAATCAGCAGTTCTTYTGATAGTTAAATAACATATTGTGCTGTACTCACGGTTTCTGGGTTTGTCATCGTCTAAGCCCTCCTCTTCATTCTCTGGGTCRATGTCTTCTGCCTGAGTGATCCAGTCTAAATAGCCCTACGTTGGCAAACACARACAAGAGGAATACAGATTACCCAATATGGATAAAAATATATTGGAAACAAGCTTTTGTTTATCCGAAACATGTTCTAACTTTAAAGAGTAACTCCATGGTTAAAGGTTGATCTGACAACTTGTGACGTTGCTTGAAAATTATAAACGAGTCCATGTGATGCTTATTGCATCTGGGCCCCCGTTAAATAAACACGCTCCTGCAGAAASACAAACCTTGAGGTCTTCTTCCAGTTGCTGTTTTTCTCTAAGTTTCTGGAAGTCACCACGTGCCTTGGCCTTCTCTCTTTCCTTGGAAAACTCTCTGGAAAGGAGGACAGGGGGAGGGAAAGGGGGTAGCAGAGTAGACGGATTGGGGAAGGAGGAGCGAAAAAGAGGAAGACAGGAAACAAGAATCTGAAAATCCAGACTGAAGCTTTTGCCAAAAGTGACAGTGTGGTATTAAACAAAGTATTACACATTTAGCATGAAGGAAAAGCTGCAAAAAGGGGAAACGTGGAGGCAGAACAGCTTTGCTAAAGGAGAAAAGATGTTAGTGCGCGAATGTAGATCAAAAACTGGAGCTTTTAGTTTCCCTGAAGTGTCAGCCTTRAAGCAAAAACCTTGAAAGGAAGAACATGACTTTAACAAAACAAATGAACAGGATGACATGCAGGTGTTTCTCTTCCCACCAAGGCAGCTGTCATGTAAACATGAGGAGTATACCACAGGAACAAAAGAAAAGTCTGTTTAGGTTATGGACCCCTGCTCTGATTGGTAGCTATACTGTAATGGTGTGGTATGGTATCTGGAAGGCATGAAGGTCCTGTCACACTATGATGTTTTAGACAACTTATGCCAACTTATGTAAAGTTTGGAGACATCTACATTGAAGATGGAATTAAAAAAAATCAACTGGAATCTTCTTTTGACACAAGTTTAAAATGTCATAGTGTTACAGGGCCTTAAGGGAGACATACCTTGCTTTAAAATCATATTTTTATATTTAAATCATTTAGTTGAGGTCTATATAAAGTCTAAATGCAATGCTTTGGTCTGATTTCCTCGTTAATGTAACTCCACAAGCCCCTCTTTCACTCCTTTTTCTGAGCTGCGTCTCAGCTAAACTCGCTTTGAGGCTCTCTTTAAATCTTGTACCTTGAAAGGGGTTTACGACTATATATCGGTGCAGAAACTTTTTTATTTACAAACTAATTAAAAGATGTCAGCAACAAGAAACTTGCCCATCCAGCCTTACACGTTGGAGCCAGAGTCTGACCCAGAGCCAGGAGAGACTGAAGACCACCAAAATGTAGTTGGTAAGTCCAGACCTTATTTGGTACCTCTGTTGCAAATAATTTGATGTAATAGTTCAGAAAACGTCATAGAAAACATGTTGAAAAATAAGACCTAAACAGCATATAAAGATATCTAGACAGCACCAGGAGAAACTAAATTCAAATTGTTTGCACTCCTAAAGACTCCAAGTGTGCAATTAAATGCATTTAAAGGCTAAAAAAGCGGTTCCCTTTCAGTCAATTCACTCGGTACAACATCATGTATGGGAACCACGCCCCTGCGTGTCCTGGCT